GGGAGGATTCCGTGGCTGAGGTCCCTGATGTCGTGCATGCATCTGCTCCCACGTTAAGTCAGCAGTCACCAGCTAGAAGTCCTTATTTCTAGCAGGTTGTATTCATTGCAGCGCAACCAACTGCACAGGAAGAAGCAGAGAGTCTGAAGGAGGGATCACTGATTACTCCGTACGCCATACGACGTGTCGGCTCGCCTGGGTTTGATGCTAATCTAGCGTCCTTCAACCGGGCACTTTAGGTACACTAGGTAGCGGCCAACTTGCCGTTCCTATTCGACCGAGAAGAGTACCAAGAAAATGCCTCGATTCACAAAGGTCAGCCGGTGAATTCTCTTGGTCAAATGTTTCTCCTCTCGTGCTCTTAGACGACCGCTTTTTGCGAATGAGAGGCTCAGATTGGATTAGAGATCCACTGCATGGCTCCGGGTGCGAGCCAATCGAGCTAACCCAGACAGTATTAGTAGCGAAAGACCGTCGAAGCTGGTCCGCTGGAGAAAGTTCGGATACAGCCCCAACGAGAAGACCGGAGGGTTCCGATCCGATTCATACTTTGCCTCAGTGTATGGTGATGTAGAATCATACTCAATAAACCCCAGGTTTTTCTTGACCTTAGCTACTTGGCAAATTGGGGGTTGATGTCACGATAAAGAAATTTCAGGATGTGATTGCCAGAAGGGGTTTTTGTCTCCAGAAGAGTTGGTGATGGTTATTGAGAAACTTTTTCATAAGCTCGGCCCGGTCCTGGCAGACTGCTAAGGGCCCAAGGGGTAATAACTCCGACTGGCCTAACTGGTGCGCGGTTTCTGCACACGCTCATCTCTGCAGGCGGTATGACGAGTGCGATAATACTAGCAGAATGAAAAGAAAGGATACGAAGCTCCGTAAGCGGAGCTGCCTTTCCACCGGCACACAGGCACAGAAACGTGCGATTCGTAGAAGTGTCCTGTGTCCAGAGGAAGTCAGTCTGGTAAAAATCTGTCGTCGGAACCCAAGCCCACCAACGGCACCAAGTGGGGGGCCCGCCACTCCCTGCAGCAGCGAGTAGCCAATGAAAGCCCTCGATGGTCTGCGGCACCGAACCTCAAGCGCAGTTCCACCAACGGCAGCACCAGCACCACAGGAGCCTTTTGGTAAGAAAAGGGCCACTAATTGACTAGAGGTCTCAATGTGTTGGTTGTTGAGCGCTCTACCTAAATTTCCCGGCCGGACAGACCCTCTAATGACGATATGAGGCGGTTGAAACACGAATCGGAACCACGAGATTTGGCTGCGTCTGCATAACTATGTCCGTTATGGTTAGTGTCACTGCTGGAGTGGCAGAAGATGGGGGAGCGTCATCGAACAGAAGCAAACAGGATATGGGGAACCCTTCCGTCGTAAGACTGGTGGGTACGCCGAAGGAGGCTTGATTCGAAGATGAAGGAGGGGGAAGAGAGCGAAAAAGAGAAAAAGAAAAAGATCTTCTTAGATCTTAAATACTCTCACGCATCCCAATTTGGCCCAACCCTCATAACAACTTCGAACACTCTCTTCCTCCATCTCTCCTCCCACCCTTCTTGTTCCTCTCCTCTTGCAACTGTCCTTCTCTGCGAGCTTCGCGGCGAAGGTCTAGTGCTTCATCATCCTCCGCATTGGCTGTCCTGTTCCACACCAATCCGCTTTTGTTGATAGCTCAAAGCACACCCAGCGAAACACAGATTGACTTCTGTAAATCCGATTGCTTCGGGCGTTTTGTATCCTTGTATCGCCGTATCGTCGGGTACAACCTCTCAGCCCTCCTGCGACAAGTTGATCTGCCCTCCTTGCGACTTTAACAACGGTTTTCGACACCCATTTGCGACATCCGAGCCCCACGAAACGTGTGCCACCGCACCCAACCTGTCCAACAGCAACATATTGCCGAGCGTCTCCGAGAAACTAAGCCCTTATGCAACAGGCCCTGATCTAAGCGTTTTAGACCCGAGGACCTCCTACGCGATTACCCTGCAGCCACGGCAGTCTAGCCTAGCGACTTTCGATTGCCCTTTGCGCCAAATCCGTCTTTCACAACGTTTGTCATTGAACGCTGACTCTTACCATAATTGTCTGGAACAATGAGTGGTCTTGATATAGAAAAGAAGTTGAGCGTTAACCAGGCCTCGACCGGCGAGAATGCGTCTGGATCTGATGATGCAGATGCGCTCAAGCTGGCTGAGATGGGTTACACGCAGGACCTGCAGCGCAATTTCTCCCTGCTCTCCCTGGTCGGCATTGCGTTCTGTATGTCAAACTCTTGGTTCGGTATCTCGGCTTCCTTGATCACCGGTATCAGCTCTGGAGGTACTGTTCTCATCGTTTACGGCTTGCTCTGGATCACCTTCATCTCGACTTGTGTCGCTGCCTCCCTCTCGGAATTGGCTAGCTCCATGCCCAATGCCGGTGGGCAATATTTCTGGGCGAACGAGCTTGCTCCGAGGAAATATGCCCGGTTCTTCTCTTATCTTACCGGCTGGTTTGGATATGCTGGTGCCATTTTCGCGAGTGCCAGTGTTGCGCTCAGTCTTGGATCCGGTGTTGTGGGAATGTGGCAACTTGGCCATCCGTCATTGTATGCTTCCAAATCCCATGTTTGCTCTCTGAGAGGAAGTGTCTTCCGCTCTAGGTCCGTAGTGCTGACTCCAACCACAGTGTTCCCAAAGCCTGGCATACAGTAGTGGCATACCAGCTCATCAATTTCTTCTGCTACCTCTTCAACTGCTGGGGCAAAACCCTGCCTGCTGTGGCAAAAGCAACGCTGTACATCTCGTTGCTTTCTTTCCTGGTAATCCTTATTGTTGTTCCGGCTTGCGCCAACCCGCATGCCAGCGGATCCTATGTTTTTGGGCATTTCGTCAACTCCACTGGTTGGAAATCGGATGGAATCGCTTTCATTGTCGGGTTGATTAACCCGAACTGGATCTTTGCCTGCTTGGATTCGGCCACTCATCTTGCCGAAGAGGTGCCGCAACCCGAGAAGAACATTCCCGTTGCGATCATGGCCACCGTCGGCATCGGTTTCGTTACCTCCTGGACCTACTGTATCGCGATGTTCTTCAGTCTCAACGACCTTGATGCACTATTGAACACCGCCACAGGAGTGCCAATCTTGGAACTGTACTACCAAGCTCTGAGGAACAGGGCAGGTGCAATTGTTCTGGAAACTCTCCTTGTGGTGACGGGTATGGGTTGCCTGATTGCCTGCCACACTTGGCAGTCACGTCTTGCCTGGGCCTTCGCTCGTGATCGCGGTATGCCTGGACACCAGCTGCTCTCCAAGGTCAACATGACTTTGGATGTCCCCTTGCACGCCCACAACGCCAGCGCATTCATTGTTGCTGTTCTCGGCTTGCTCTACCTGGGATCCTCTACCGCTTTCAACAGTATGGTCACGGCATGCATCTCGCTTCTGTACATGTCGTACTCTATCCCCGTCATCTGCCTTTTGTATGTTGGTCGTGACAACATCAAGCACGGCCCATTCTGGCTGGGCAAGTGGGGTCTTGCTGCGAACTATGTCACCCTGGCATGGACTCTCTTCTGTCTCGTTATGTACTCGTTCCCTTCGACTATGCCAGTCTCCACAGGAAGTAAGTATCCAAGTCAAACATTGATATACGATGAATGGAGTGACTAACCGGACTGCAGATATGAACTATGTTTCGGCCGTTTACGGTGTCGTTATCTTCATTGTTCTGGCTGACTGGTTTGCACGAGGAAGGAAGTCGTTCCGAGGCAGCCAGAGTTGCGTGGAAGGAGAAAGTGCCGAGTAAAGCGACGCTGGATCATCAAATACTCTTCACCTCCCCTTATTCCCATGTCATGAGTGCTTCAAACAAAACAAAGGCACATTCATGGGTTATGAAACCACACGAAGACACCTAGCGAGTCTGGGATCTTCATCATGACTGAAAAAGAAAAAGCATCTGTATATAGACGATACCCCGGTGATATAGAGTCGGTATAGATCAATTTCAAAAAAGTTTAAAATATAGTCGAGACTTTCCATATCGTAGTTATCATGGTGAAACGAAGCCCAATGGAATGTATTCCCAAGGATAATGAAGACAGAACCCTGTAAATCCACAATGGAGGGGAAAGTAGAATCCGAAGTACAAAATAGAAGGAGCAAAAACCTCTCCTTCCATGTGACCCCCGCAAACATAGCTAGACCGTTTCTGGCCACAACATCGTCTCCTCAGAACATTCTAGGCCGCACTTTTGCCCTATACGCCTCCAAAGCCATTACGGAGCCCAAGCGCGCTATTGTCTTTGTGGCTTGAAAGAAAAGGAAATTTCTCACCGACAGTTTTCTGCTACGTGTATGTTCACATTGCATTTTCGGATCCGGAAAGAAGCCTGCAAAACCCCTTTTCTGTGTATTGGGATTGTTTCTGGCAGCTGCGTGGAATAGCGAAGCTATACTATCATATCCGTGGTTCGTTTGATGCTCGAGATAGTGGGGTAAAATGCCTCTCCGGCATTACTTCTCGTGTCTCTCTGCCCTCCTGCAAGCATCTCCTTGTTTGATTCTCCTCCGAGTCGGGCACATCTGGTGCGTGACATCGTAGAAGTCTCTTACGGCTTTGCAATCGCTCTGCCAATTGCACTATAGAATTTAGAGAATCCAATTCATAGTTTCATATTCCATTGGCCTCATTAAGCCCGCTAATGTGACTATGACTACCTAAATATCAGCATGTCGCTATCCTGAGTTAAGAAACAGCGGCACCTATTTAGCTGCATACACAAAAGAGCGACTTCACCAGGACAAGAGTCCCAGATCAAGCCAAAACTCCAGCGGACTGGTTGCTGCTTGGATGAAAAATCAAATGAGAGGATAGAAGAAAAAGAACACGAAGAAGCTTCCACATAGAACAGGCAGATATCCTTATTCCTGCTGACCGCGCTGAGCCGTGACAGTGCATTCCAGCCACATTCGTTGAAAATCCCCTCGTGCTTCCTAAGAGGTATCATTCACCCAATCAAGAATTCTTCCAATAATGAAGGGTGTAGGGAGTGATGACTCTCTTATCCTTAACCTGCCCTTTGATCAAATCCTTCAGTTCGTCAAGCAGGTCACCAGCATAATTGGCGTTTTCACGAAGCTCTCTGGCGAACTTGAAATTATCCATGAGAATGAAGGGACCGACCGAAGCCTCAGCAATAAGAGAGCGGACCGGATGACCCTTGAACAACATTGAGGCCGACTTAATATGGCTAGAAGTCAGGAGACGAACCTTTCCGTTTTCTCCTCCGGCACAGGATAGGTTAACTCGGGGAATAGAGCTGGTAATGATGGCCTTGATCTTATCAGCCAGAAGTTGTTCCATGCCTGTGATGCGCCACATGTCCGCCAGTCGAGCCATTTCGATGTACGCATTGATGCATCTTCCTTGAATCTGCGATGGAAACTCGATACGATTGAGGTACAGCCACTGGAGGAGCATGAGGAGGCTACGCTCAGTGACAACGCCTCTGATCTTGTGCATGGTCACTGCTTGCTCGTTGCCCTCTTTGAAACAGCTATCGAACATCGCTCTGAAATAGGAGGAATGTCTGCAGAGGAGAGGACGGGATACTTTGTACTTGGCCCCGTTGTTGCCGACTTGAATAGTAACATAGGGGCCGGGGCACAAAGGGACCATGCTAGTATTAGTTCCGTTAGTCAATGAATAAAACCAACCAACCAAGTATATTGTGAGAATGGTGTAGCTCACAAATCGTATAAACCCTCATCAGATGTGTCCGGGTTTTGCTTGTTATCACTTTCGGCCATCTTGGCTGGTTATTGACTTTTCGCTAAGGAATGCGTTAGCACCTGTGAGGTAACCGGCGTGATGAGAAGCACCTTTGAGAGTAGTTATTCGCTCAAGCGATAGTAGTAGGACGGATAATTGTTAATATTGAAGATTCGCACGCCGAAGAGCAGAGAGAATATGGGTTCGTTGTATCAGCCCAGTTCATGTGCAAGCACACCAACCACAACCTCACAACACGACGTTGACTGCAACACCTGCACCCACGCGCTCTTCAGAATCAACAAAGAGGAAAGGTTTGTATAGATAGTAGGGAGCCTATGAAACTAACACCCCATCTCGGAACGGATCATTCTTATCCGTGATGTCATTCACCGTCCCTATCTACTAAAGTGGATGTCTTATAGCGTTGCCCGACAACAGGACCTATCAGTTCCTGCTTTCATCTTCTTCCACAGGCTTCACGTAGCGCTAATGGGACCTTGTGTAATCTTCTCAAAGTTCTGTTCCTAGTCTTGTATATACTGATTGCTTGCCATACAGGGACTGATCCTGCGTCTGGTTCAGGTCTGGTTATCTCCGTCGAGTACGTTGAGTATATAAGGAAAGGGAGCAATCGTTGTACGTTCCTGATTAGTATGCAAACTATAGCTAACTGGAAGTAAATAAGATAATATAGAAAATGTCACGAAAGCAAAGGTCCTAGATGATGGTCTTGCCTACAGTCATCCACGAACAAAACTTTCTCACTTATATACACAAGCTGTCTCCAACACGCCGAATAGGTGCTCGTAGCGAGCACAGTCGCGTGGACTGAGATGATTCTAGTCCCTCGAACTGGACTGAAACTAGCAAACCTAGGAATCTTTCGTCAGGTCATAATCTTGGACGGTACCGTAGGTCAGATTGAAGAGCCTTGTCAATGACTTCAGTAGCCATCAGGACTTCTTCATCTTGAAACCTCCACCCAACAACCTGGATAGCAGTAGGTGCCCCATCTACTGCATCAGGATCATCTATAATCGCGATAAGCAGCTGAAACTCATGGCTAGGTCAACGAAAAGACTTACAACCCTTGCATACCTCCGAATCCAGAGACTTATCAGCCTTCAGATACGGAATAATGCTCGCGGGAAACTAAAATATCCTGCATCAGCACGATACATCGAGCAAATTATGTTTGACTTCCCTTACATTCAGCAAATTCCAAATAACCGTGTACACCGGCGGCCCATAAGTATCATGTGGGCCTGCAGTTGACCAGTGACCCGGACAAATGAGGACGTCTAGATTATGTTGTTTCCAAATTTCAGCCATCTTCTCCCGGTACGCCACAAGGGAAGCATTGGCGTCCCAGACATCGTCTAACGTCAGTGTAGGATTCTGTAATCCAGCTAGAGCAGCTGGAGAGGCATACTCCAATGCTTTGATTGGTTGCTCATCTCCATCCAAAACGTGCTGCAGAAGGGTCTGCTTGGTATCGAACAAAAAGTACCGTGCCGCCAGCTTTAGACCATCGTGAAAGGATGGAGCATTGGTTACAAGATGGACACTGTGACCAGCATTTTCAAGCGCAGCCTGTGCGGAGGAAAGTGCCCGTTTGACAGGAGGAAATAGTGGGAAGTGCTCGTCCCCCATATAGACCCCAATGCTTAGCTTCTTCTTTGGGGGCACATGCCGCCAAGTCGTCCCAAGAGCGGTGGAATCATAGCGCCATGGTTCCGACGAAAGTATTGTCTTACAGAAGAAAGTCAGGTCTGATGCACTGTTGGCGAGTGGACCGACGGCCGAGACGAGCCCTGGTGTACCCGGCCTGTCCCCTAATTCGACTCTCCCGTGAGGTATGCGGTCAGCTGTGGGCTTGAAGCCATATGTGCCATTGCAGAGGCTCGGTGCACGAATGGATCCTCCGACGTCTGTGCCTACTCCTAGTATGGAACCTCGGAAGGCCACCAAAGCACCTTCACCCCCACTACTCCCACCTGCACTGAGGCAAAGCTTGTGAGGGTTCAATGTTCTTCCAAAAACATTGTTGACGCTATCCATGGTCTTCAAGTGGACCAAGTGTTAGCAGAGAACCGCGAGACAAAAGAAATGGCAACTTCGTACCAACAGTGTCTGTGGAATATTTGTCTTGATGTACAAGATAGCGCCGTTAGCAAGGAGAATATCAACTAGGGGCGAATTTTCAGCTGCGACTGGCTTCCCCAGAAAAGAAACAAAGCCAATGGTTGTAGCCTGTCCCTTGATATTGTAGCTGTCCTGTTGCATGGTGAGATTCGCGGCAATGACGCTAGTAAGGGAATCGGCTCCAGTAATTGCCAATTCAGATGAGATAATTTGCTACTGGAACCGAAGGCTTACCTTGACACTGATAGGAAGGCCATGAAAGGGTCCATAAGGCCTTCCATACTTGGCCAGATATCCATCAAGAAACTCTGCTCGCTTGAACGCCTCGGCAAAAAGGATCTCAGTCGCGCAGTTTGTCTGGGTAATTGCATTAGCTGAGCCGATCACGATATGATTGAAATATACATAGATACCAACTGGTGTGCAATAGCAGCTCTCTTACAAAAGGCCTTGCAAACCTGGAGCGAGGTCAATCGGCCTCCGATGATCTCCTGGTGAAGGCTTTGGGCGTCATAGGACTCTGTGATAGCCACCTCTTCCCTTGACAACAAATCATGATGTTGAAGGATGTCGAAAGCACTTATGTTGGCATCCTGGGTAGTTTGGTTTATAATTGTCTCGGGAAGAACCCATTCAGGAGGGATTCTGGATGCACGGTCCCTTAGTTTGTCAGCGATCAGACCATCCCACTGAGCCATCTTGAGAACGCAGCCCACTTCTTTTCGTGCAATGAAACGGGAGATTAAAGACAAATGCATGCGGCAAGGGCTTTAATAAAGACCACAAAGATAAGAGATAAGACCGATCAATGCACGTCAGTTTGGGCTCGCTTCCAGGGGGCTTTATCTACCACGTAGCAAGCTAAATGAAAGTGTCGCATCCAGCCGACCCTATAGAACAGACGTATTATTGTCCTGAGCCACTAGGCAAACGGATGACGCGGATAAGGCAATTTATTGGGAAATTAAGTACCTTAACAAAGACAACTGGCATTCTTACTGGCATTTCCTCCAAGCCCTTTAATCCGTCAACCGATTCGTTCCAAGCCCCGGTTCCAGTACTTTGGGATGGCTAACCGTGGCTACGCCAGCCACTATGACCAGGAACATTGCCGGCGGTGTAAGCTGAATGGCCCGACAGGATTATCTAGTCAAGTTGGTGCGTCACGCCATAAGATTGATGCAGCCCGATGATTGCTCGAGCGTAGTGACATCCACCCAATAGGCCGGTCCTTGCAGCTAACCGACATGTGAGTTCCGTACACGGCGAACCTCGGCCTATAGATCATTTTGTACATGATGTATCCGACTATCTATTGTGACTCTAACTTCTGAAATGGACACCTTGTCAGATCAAAAGTCCAAGGTATTACAAGACACACATGGATGTCGACACATGGGACAAGTTCGCATCAAATAAAGACTGTTAAGACGTTAATAGGTTTATGATGTAGGCATGAACTACCTTCAACTCTCAGCTTATCTGATCAGCTTCAAGCCCACTAAAGCTTGTCAAGAAGCTTATTCTAGCACACTTGCATACCAGAGTATTGACTGCTATATAGAGCATTCACTGGTTTGATTTCCCATGGCCAGTTCACTCCCTCTACAGTATAAAGAATAATCGCTATTATCAGTTACTGCCACGATCGAATAAAATATAGCAAGTGATTACATATAGATTGACAGGTTTTGAAAGGGGTTCTGAGCTAGGAACAATTCCAAAGAGCATCAGCTCTGGAGGGTCAGACAGTGCGCAAGGCGAGCGTGGGATCTCGGGCATCAGAACAGCCACTTTGGCCGTGTGAGAGATTCAAAGATACCTAAAAGGCAGATGAGAAAGACCTGAGCTTACTTGAATAGCTCCATGGAATTCTGAATTGATCCAGCTCCATTATGCTGTGGAACAGGCATGCATTGATGAGTTGGACTGGATGTCGGTCACCGCAAAGGCCCTTGGGCACATTCAGAATAGAGCTGACTGAGATGATCAGGTGCTACTTCACCTGCATTAGTTTCATAGCAATGACTTTTAGTAATGACAGCTGTGAGCGACCGGACTTATTGGTCAGTTCATTGTAGAATTGAAGAAGAAGATGAAGACGAAGCGACAAAGTTGAGGGAGAGCAAGAGCAACTAGTTCTGTATAAGTGGGCCCTGAGTGACCAATCCGAATGAAAAGTTTACGAGCGGGCCAATGAGAGGCAGGGTTAGCGGGTCGGCTCCAAGGCAGCGAGGCAGCCTGTCAGCAACTTATCCTCCTTGTCCTATCTCATCCTCGATTACTCTTGCTTTCTTTTGCCGCTGTGAATTTTCCTCGACTAAGCCTGTGACTAACATGCATAGCGGCAAGCTTTTTCATAAGTACCAAGGCAACCCCGCGAACAGTCGAACCAGTTGCTGAGCGCTGAAATGGAATCCGAGAAGAAGCGCCGTGCGAGCAAACCCAAAGTCAAAACTGGCTGTCGGACATGCAAGTGAGTTGGGCGGCTGCCATGTTACACTACCTGACATAGTGCTTATTCTATACACAGGATCCGTCGAGTCAAATGCGACGAGGGTCGACCGGCGTGCAAGAGGTGCGTGTCAACCGGTCGCGTTTGCGATGGCTATGGAGTTTGGAGCGAAGGAAGGAAAACCACCCATGGCGGTAATTCTGGCGCACCGAGGGTTTTCCAGTCTCTCCTGTCTAGTTACAATGCACCGGTACCAATTCCGCATGCCGCATGTGCTGAACAGAAATGTGTGGAATGGTTCGTTCATTGTACCATTTCCAAGATCGGAGGAGTGTTTTCTTCCCAGTTCTGGGGCAGGACAGTTGTTCAAGCACTTTCTCAAGAGCCAGCAGTGCGACATGCTGTTATGGCATTGGCTTCTACGCATAGGTATAGGGCTCAGAGGAGCGACAAGGGTACTACAATGGCGAGCCAACTAAGCGAGCATGAGAAGTTTACTCTTCAACACTACAACAAAGCTATTGGCTGTCTCCATGCTGAAATACGACGCCACAGCCAACGACCACAGAGTGTGATAGTTGCCCTCATTACTTGCATGGTATTCGTGACTCTTGAACTGATGCGAGGCCAATACCGAACGAGTTATGCTCATCTACAGCACGGGCTGAAGCTGGTGAAGGACATTCAGAAACTCTCCGGAACCTCTAAGACCGGGAAGATTATGATAAGGACTTCGTCGCAAACAGATGAGGATGATGTTATCGAGGCCTTTAGCAGACTGGGAGTGCACTATGCTCTGCTTGGACATGGAACAAAATACTCGAACCTTGACTATGACATCCAACCTCGTCATTTACCGTACAAATTTGAGTCAACCGAACAAGCAAGACAATATCTGGATGTTCTCCTAGCAAGAGCACAGTGTCTGGTGGAGTTGGCTCGTCACATCGAGACGGGCATGTGTGTCGCGACTCGGGGCTACGAGCAATATCTTGAGTCTCAATGGCGCCTGGAAAAGGACTTGGAAATATGGCTTGATGTTTATAGATCGTCACTTGATGGATTTTCAACTCAAGATTGGATCAAGAATACCTTGTCTACAAGGTTACTCGGGATGTACCATACCATGGCCTTGATCATGGCTACGAGCTGCACGCCATGGGACGACGAAACGGCATTCGACCTGCAAACCGACAGGTTCATTTCCATTATCCGCGAGGCAATCGATATGTGTCAAGCCCTCAGAACCGCATATCCAGATTTCCCCACGAGTGGATCTCTCAATTGCCCGTTGGGGATGGCGTTTACGATGGACATTGGCTTCATCCAGCCATTATATTACACTGCAATCAAGTGCCGGATTCCTCAGATCCGACGACACGCAATCGGGTTGCTTCGATTGGCACCTCACCGTGAAGGCATATGGAATGGTGCCCTCACTGCTAGAATTGCGGAGGAGGTAGTTACATATGAAGAGTGGAATATCGATGCAAGCTTTACAGTTGGAAAAAGCTTGGATCTCCTCAGCCTGCCAGAAGCGGGTAGTTCAATTACAATCCTGCCTTCTCTGTGCCGCATCTCAGATGTTCATGTCGAATTGCCCGATGAGAACACGGGAGAGGCTACTGTGACATTCTGGCAGCGCGAAGACGGTAGAAGCTGGAAGGTTGACGAGAGAAAATTCCAGACGGAGGATCCATAAGCAAATCTCAAACTCTGGAGCCGTCCCTTTTTATCTGAAGCTGACCGGCCAGAGCGATTATGACATCATGACACACTGGCATCTCAGCCAATCACAATCAATGTGATAAAATCTTACCGATCATCAACAAAGAAAATGTAATGATCGACTGACTCGTGCTCAGCACTAGCGGTGCATGGTGGAACGTTTGGAATGTGAAGCTCAGCCACTATCAGCAAAACGGAAGCTACCTACTTTGTAAATGCTCAGTCAGTGATTTGCAACCGGGATGGACGGCGCTGGCATTTGCTGGTTGGGCCCCTTAGTCAGTCTTACCCCATGCTTACTTACCCATCCGCGCCCCGCCCGAGCCAATCCCGGATCTCTGGCCAGGAGTATAAAGTCGATCAGCGATCTAGACAAACGACGAAATACTTTCTTCAGAATGCAAATTGCAACACCATCCTACCTCCTCCTATTCTTTGTTCCTTTAATATTTCTCCTCATCAAGTCAATTCTTCCCACCAACTCCGTTATGTCCAAACCTCTTGCCCACGCTTCCATTGTCGCCCGTCGCTCTAGTGAGCGCGGGTACGCCGAACACGGCGGCTGGCTCAAAAGCTTCCACACCTTCAGTTTTGCCAGTTACTATGACCACCGCTTCAACAACTTTGGCAGTCTGCGCGTTCTCAATGAAGATCGTGTAGCCGCCCGTAATGGATTCCCGACCCACCCTCACCGCGATGCCGAAATCTTTAGCTACATTCTCAATGGAGAGCTCACGCACCGCGACAGCATGATCAAAAAGGGTGCGGAAGGCGCCCAGGGCAAGCAGTTCTACCGCATGAAGCGTGGCGACGTTCAATTCACCACTGGTGGAACAGGTACGTTGACTAGCATTGAACTCTACCACCTGAATAAAGTGACCAAACTAACCAACCAACTTCCTCCAGGAATCGCACACTCCGAACAAAACGAATCTAACAAGCCCGTCCACTTCCTCCAGATCTGGGCTCTTCCCTGGAAACATGGCCTCAAGCCCCAATACCACACCCGCACATTCGACGAAGCCGCCAAGCGCAAAGCATTCGTCCCGATCCTCTCCCCGCTGGCTGCCGGGCCCGAAGCAACCCCTGCCGATGAGGAGGCCGCCATCCCTAAGATCCCAGACACGATCCCGATTCACGCAGACTTTGTGATGGGCGCGGGAATCATTGAACCCGGGCAGAAGTTCCAGTGGACTGTGGGTGCTGGCGAAGACGTGGTCAGTCGCAAGAAGAAGAGGAACGTCTATGTGCATTTGCCCATGACGAAGAACGGCAAGGCCCAGATCCGGTTGGATCATCGGGACGAGGCGGTTCTGAGTGAAGGTGATGGAGCGTTCATCACAGGGGTGAATGCGGGTGATGTGCTGAGTGTGGAGAGTGTTGGGGATGCGGAGGCCGAGGTTATTGTTCTGGACAGTGATTAGTTGGTGTCGATGATTTCTTTGCTTCCTTTGGCTGGGTGTAAGGTGTTTGGGGACTTTTCCTTGTATAACTTGCATTATTTTATATTTATCTTACATTAATGACAGCCTAGCATAAGTGGGTTTCACTCTGCGTCATGAATATATCTATTAGATGATGATATCGACTACTTTCTACCTTAAACGTAACACCCTGATATACACATAGTACACACCCAGAAACCGAACAGAGACACTCCCTATAACTTACCTCCCCAACCCCAACACCATCCCCGCCCACTCCACCATAACCCCCGACTCCAAAACCTCCCGCGCCGACATCCTCCCCTCCGGCTCATAAACCAACATCCCGCCCAGCAACCTCCTCAAACAATCCATCTCCAACTCCCGAAACTCACAAGTCGAAGACATCTCCCCCCTCCCCATCGCCCACAGTCTCTCATCCAAAGACCTCCCCCCAGTCCCCACCACCCTCATCAAGGACCTCACAAAATCCGATCTCTGCCTCCATCTCTCCGGCAACTCACCACCCAGCATACTCACCATCTCCCAGATAACATCCTCTGGACTATCCGACCAGGGTTCGAGTAGTGGTCGGTCACCGAGGATATCGTAGATTGTACACCCTAGTGTCCACATATCGGCGGCTGAAGTTATCGGATCATGGAAGATGGCTTCCGGGGGCAGGAGGATGGTTGGTGTGTGTAGGGCTTCTGGGGGAGGGGCGTGGGTGAAGAGGTAGGATGTGCCGAAGTCGGTTATTTTGATGTTGATGTTGCTGGTTGGGAGTTGTTGGCTCATGTTCATGGTCATGGGGATGATGGCGTGGGTGGGTGCATGTGGATGGATGGATGGGGTGGTTGTCGGTTCGTGAGATGGGGATATGGTAGGGTGGGCCGAAATGGTCGTATATATCGTTTGTACGTAGGGTGTTGAAGTTAGTAGTGGGTTGGAAGAGGATATTGCGCGTGTGGAATCTTGTTGGTGGTCAGTCAATCACTAAAGACACGATGTGTAGATAGGTGCTTACCTCCATGCCCTACCCCAAGGGAAAGCATATAATTCACTCCCATGACAACCTGAGCAACGATAGCTTTAGCTACATCCAAGGGGAACATCAAATTGGGACTATTCTCCTTCGCTGCAGCAATACTGCAGCCAGAGACTTTGGTGACCAGACACACATGGTGCCCGTTTGGGCCATCGAAGGAGAACTCATCGAGCAGGGAAGAATGAATGTATTTACGGCCTGGGTGGTTACTATCATCTCCAGTTTGGAGTTGTTGTATTATTCTCGACTCGAGGCTTCTTTCTGTACTAGTAGTCTCTGCGGTTACGATCTTTAATGCGACGTATTGGTTTTCTTGTCTGTCGCGGGCAAGTCAGACGGTTGAGTAGGAGCCGTATCCTAGTTTGTGGATAACTTTGTATCTTCCGTGGCAGAATTCGTCATTAATGGATGTCGGGTGGTAGCCTCCGGGGGTGTAGCCTTCTAGGTTCTCTACGCTGTCTTCGGGGTGGTAGGTGGGTTGGGTGATTGGTTGTGGTGGTGGTGTGGGTTTGGGTGTGTTGAGAGGATGGATGGTGGTGAGGCTGCGAAGGGGCTTTGATGCTTTTTAGTAGGGGATGTACAATATGGGTGCGAAGTACTGTCAGATCTCGACTTACGTGAGGGAGCTGTTTATGGGCTAGGGATCGTGTCTTGAGAACACGGAACATGATGGTGTTGTTACTTGAAGCTGTACTATGTAGATATTCTGCGCATGGTGTATGGTTATTAGGAGATTTCTAGCAAGGGAGTGTGAGAAGCGCGTGAAGTGATGCTGCGTGCCTATCTTTAGTCCACTGCGATCCATACATACAGACTTGTCATAGATCATATCTGTTCCCATCAACCCCATGGAGAATGATCAACAACATCTCCCAGTCCCAGACTCGATCCAGACAGTTACTCCAACATGAAGTGGAGGCGGTGGTGGTTAAAGTTGACGGAGGAATCCACCGCACCCGAAAAGAGAGAGTGGCCGACGAAGAAAATCCTGCGCTGGGGCGGCTTCTTGGCACCACCAACGCAGTCTCTGTACGTAATGCGGCAGCCGTGAATCGGAGACAATGTGGGTTGGGTGTCTCCAACTCTTAATTCAAGTAGCCTATTATCCCAGGTCTAGTCTAGTTCTTATGTAGTTCCATATGAGAGGGGCGAGGATCATGGGACGTCCCCTGTTTTCTCCTGGTTCTTGAAGCTGGTCCATAGTTGTTTTTGCTAGGTAAACTGCTAACCTTATCTTTGTGTGCCCAACTCTTGACCCCGTTCTGCCCTGGGCTTGAATACCTACTCAGCTTGTTTCATCGCAGAGAGAGCTATTTCCAGACTTGCAAGCTCCACGACCCCAAAAACTCTTTTTGTGGAGGCCGTTTCTTGGATAGATACTTTCTAGCCCTGTTTGTGGCTGGTTCGGCGAATCTGAGCGGCCTGAAATCTGAGGCCCCGCATTCTTGCTTTCACAGCCAACTTCATCGCTACCTTCGTTTGTGTCTGTTGCGCCTTGTCTACGCCATAGAATTAGAGATCATTATCACAGCTCTTCATCATGGCAGCCCTCGATGTCAATGGCCCCTTGCCTGAGCTGGCTGAGCAGCAGCCGGACGATCTCATCCCCGAGTCCCGGGTCCTCATTATCATGACCGGTGGTACGATTTGTATGCGACAGTCCCCATCAGGATTCATTCCTGCCAGAGGATTCCAGGAGCAATGTCTGGCCCGCGTGCCGACCTTCAACGATGGTTCGCACCCGAGCATGATGGATGTGGTGGTCAACTCAGCCGGAGAGATCAAAGGACATCCCACTCTCCGCACACCACCGACTGCCTATGGGCGACGGGTGCGGTACACTGTCTTTGAGTTCGAAGAGCTCCTCGATAGCAGTTCTATCGATGCGAAAGGTTGGGCTCAGATCGCTCACACCGTTGAACGAAACTACACACTTTTCGATGGCTTCGTCGTCCTCCACGGAACAGACAGTCTCGCATACACATGCTCAGCGCTTAGCTTCATGCTGCAGAATCTCGGCAAGCCCGTCATCCTGACTGGAGCGCAAGCGCCCATGCTGGAGTTGCAGAATGATGCCACCGATAACCTTCTCGGATCACTGGTTGTGGCTGGCCATTTCATGATCCCCGAAGTGTGTCTGTATTTCAACAACCGACTGTTCCGTGGCAACCGGTCGATCAAGGTCGCAGCCAGTGACTTCGCTGCCTTTGACTCTCCGAACTGCCCCCCGCTGGCGGTAACAACGTCCATGCGGACCAACGTGAACTGGGAGCTGGTCAACCGACCGAAGAGCCTGGAACATTTCCGTATCCAAACCAATCTCGACACCACCCATGTGGCATGTCTTCGTATCTTCCCTGGTATCAAGCCGGAGATGGTCGATGCGGTGCTGAAGCTGGAAGGACTCCGTGGTTTAGTATTGGAGACGTTTGGCGCCGGTAACGCACCCAGCGGTCAAGACAATGCCATGACCAATGTATTGGCCGCCGCTATCAAGCGAGGAATCGTGATCGTGAACGTCACGCAGTGTAAGTAAAGCCCTAGCAACTATTTTCCTAACCCAGAGTTTCTTCTGACATAGTCAACCAGGCCTGACGGGAAGCGTCAGCCCCGTCTATGCCCCAGGCATGAGTCTCTCTCGCGCGGGAGTCGTCGCCGGACTCGACCTGACCACCGAAGCCGCACTAACCAAGATGTCATATCTCCTCGCTCTTCCGGATTCCACCCCAGAATGGGTCGCGAAGAAAATGTCCGTATCTCTTCGCGGCGAATTGACCGAGGTATCACAGCCAGTGTTCCGTCATCCGGACGGGGCGCTCCCTGAGCGCGTGCAGTCCCTCACGGTGCTCGGATACGCCATTGCGCAGGGTGATCTCGAGCGCGTGGAGGAGATTGTGGCCCGAGAACACCAATGGTTATTGAATGACGCCGACTACTCGGGCAACACACCTATCGTAAGGCAACCCCCTATGCCCCAGTTGTAAACACAAAAAAAAAAGAAAGAACAAAAACTGACACCCACGTCACTCCACAGCACCTCGCAGCAACTTCACCCTCAGTTGAGATTCTCCGATACCTGTTACTCCAAGGTGGCTCCGTGCACTTGCGAAACCGCAATGGTCGGACGCCGCTGTTCCTGGCGGCCAACGCAGGATTCTCGGAGCACGTGCTGCTGCTACGCAAGTCTGGAGCGCATCTGCACTCTGACGAACGCACGGCGGCGCAGTTGTTGGCCCGGCGCCGACCTGGCGTCTGGGGGTTGGCGGGGATTGGGCCGCGTGAGGTGAGTGAGCGCGAGATGGAGGAACTGGAGGACTCGAGTGATTCTATAGGACGTATGGCGCAGCGAGTGATGGCGGGATCGGCGCCTTGAAGATGGCGATCGTTTTTGTTTTACCCTACTCTCTTTAGAGACAGGAAGGGAGCTGTGGTGGCTTAGAGCCGTTTTGGTGGAATTTTTTTTTAGACGGAAAAGCGTTTTGTTGTTATTCTAAAGCTTTCATTCACACGCTGCTTGGTACACTTCACAGTATACTTGATGATAGAATGAGGGGAATGTCACGTTATGATGACCACCAAATATAAGTGCCACGAGGTGAACACAACTACTACCATGTATTGGACGACTGTTTACTATGTAGACAGCGAGAAAGGGAAGTCCTTTCCGCGGAGATACCTGACCAACCTGCAGGATCCCTGGGCATGCAGGTCGGGGTCATGCATGTCGGATGGATGGAGGGGAAGAGGACGATGGACGACGGCCAACCCCGCTTTGAATTGCGCCATTGCTGAGATGTTTTACTTTTTATTTTAATTTTTTTTTCCCAGTTGAGATGCGTTATTATGGACTTAGTACTAGTATACTAGTAGTAGTCTAGTGTGTACTGGGGCTTAGTGAGCAGGTACCTAAATAGTGGCTCCAAGGACCTTCCTCATCGGGATAAAATATCTACATTTATTGGCTGTTAACAACAGCAGCAGTAGTAGTATACTTCGTACAGTAGTGCTACTTACTCCGCTAACAAAAAAGTATGACGGAGCAGCTGACCAGGTTGCACATGATCAATTCAAAGGCGGTGGTGGCTTGATGACGATGATGAGCTCCTAACTGATCTTAGTCATAATATACTATCCCACTAAACTTGATGTTTCTTAGATTCTACTAGATTGACCTGGACAAAGTCTGTGCTCTCACCCACGCGGTTGCTGCTCTCTCCTAATTAGTAGTAGTTCCAGGGAAAGATAAGGTGTTGATCAGATGAAGGTTGCTCCCTTGCAGACATGGCCCGGATGTGTTGTCGCACGGTTGTCGTACCGTCTGCTTGTTTGGTATGAAAGTTCTTCCTTCCCCTTGCTGACCTTGTGGGAGGATTAACCTGAGTCAGGAAAAACAAGGAGTCCAAGTGGTACTCAGTTCCTCTCATACTACTGAGGACTAAAACTTCATCCACAGGCCCGTAGAGAACCACTTTCGTCGCAAAAAGAGCCCCAGAAGGAACACCGCTCTCGGGTCTTGGCAGACGCGTGAGAAGCTGCGGCGCACGGATTGGTCGGTAAGAAGGATTTGGACCGATGGGTCTGGAGAGCAACGTGGGCTGCTCGGGCTTTGTCAGTCGGCTGTGACGGCGGCTTCTTCGCTAGTTAATGTGGATTATCACTTGCTATCCTTCATAACATTAGCAATAGTTCAATGAGGGCGGAAGAAAGAGAAAGAGGAAGAAAGTGAATCGAAAAGGAGATATAGATACATTGAAAAATTCGAGAACCGATACAGTAGGTAAATGGAAAGAGAAGTATAGAAGAAGTATAACGTCTTGACTACTACTGTTGTAGAAGACTGCCTCAGAATCGGTGGCTGCCCCCCGAAGTCGATCAGTGGGAGGCCGCTATTTCCCCGCCCACACTCTGCATTGGCTGTCATTGGCTGGGACTTGCCGGGATCGGACATTCTTTGATAGAAATGCACTTTGCTTTTTCTTGCTCCCCAAATTCAGCAATAATGAAGAATCTCTCCTACGTACTACTTTAGCTGGAACCGTTAATGTTGGAAGGTGCATCGCATACCTATACTACCTTCCAATATAGAGGATGTCCCATGGGTTGAGATTGCGCCCTACAATAGACACTATACTCAGATTGAATCATATTACGACATCCTCGTGATGCCATACTACTAGTTCTTCTATGTATCATGATGATGGTGGTGGATTTGGCTGGTCCGTTCAGCTCCCTTTCCAGCCACCCCTGAACTGCATCCGAGTTACGTAAAGGAAAGAAGGTCAATGGTCACTTCAACATCGAGGACATCGTGGGCACTTCTAGCAACATCCAACAAGGTCCCGTCTTCCTGTCAGGGCTGCTGCTCTAGTTGCCTCATCTGCCGAGCTGGCCTGTCATCCCCGGCTTTGGAAACGAATGGTGCAAGACCAACCACGCAATGGAAGATGGCAGCGAAATCTAGAGAAGCGTACCCTCAGGAACAGAGGGCCGAGTACCTTGGAATCGCGTCAGCCATCCAGAGTTTGCAATTCCGCCTGACACCGTTCAATCAAATGGCTTTCCATTCTATGACTGTTTCGCATTACTCGATATAAACCCGCTCGGAAAGCACATCGGAAGGCTTCCCCATCACATCATGGGACCGGGGCAGCTTTTCTGGCCAGGATTTTCCCAGTGGACGGGGACTTGTGGGAGGAGTCAAGAAATTCACTCATGGGTACCACCTCCCATATTAGATGCAAACCCCAGACGATCCCAATCCAGACCAGCCGATAGTCGTCGTGGGCTCATCGGGTCCCCGTTGCCGCAGCACACAGACCGCAGTTACTTCCCTTTCTTTCTTCTCTACAACGTCGCTTCCAGGCCCCCCTAGATACGTGGGCATCGAACACACCGACTTGTCCTAGAAAGGGGGAGAAGGTTTCTATTTCGGTTCATAGACCAGCTTGTCCCTTTTATAAGGCCTTACCTCCTACGTAGTCACTGCATCTTCCCTTTGACACCTTCGTCAATTGTATTTCATCGTCATCCTCTCCCCCAATCTGATAAAGCTTGTGCAGTCTCCCCTGACCAACAGGGCTGATTAGGGTCATTGTGGGTGCGAATCTCGGAACCAAGCACTAGACCTGATCCACGGCTCTTTTTTTTGTTGAATTTTTATTATTTTATTTTTCCCGCCAATTTCGCCATATTCCGATTCAAACTGCAGCGAAATTAATTAACAGATTATTACTGATCTTTGCTTTTGCTGTGTTATTTTTATTTTTATTTTTATTATTTTATTTTTTTGGTGCATTTGGACTGAAAAACCTTCAGTTTGTGTGAGGTCATTTCCTTGCCTGGTGCGCCAGACCGGCTCTGGGGGGTGTCCACTTGTTCGGCCTCGTTGGAGCATTCGGTGATTCTTATTATTCATATTATCCTCTCGACGAGGGAGATCCGTGCCTGCAACGGAGGAGGCGCTGCTTTGCATTAACTAACAAAAACCTGGCTTTTGGCGAGCAGCCCGGCTGTGTCGGTCTGAAGTTGGAGCACCTAATATCTCATCATCCGCCGTTGTCTCCAACATCATCGATCGTTTTTTTTTTCGGTGGTGGGATTCTCTATTTTTTGTACAAGTAGTACTAGTGTCCCGCGGGTTTCTTTTTGAACCACAGCAACAGCTGCAACAAACAACAGCTGCCTGACCGGTCATCGTCTTGCACCATTGAAATCTTCGATTGCGGCATTGTCAAATCAACTGTCTCCCCAGGCAATCTTATCCCACTGAGCTATATAACTCTCCGTCCCTCGTGCGCGCCTCCGCCAACTGCTCCGTCTAACTACCCCACTGTTCCATTCGTCAAGGTACCACCACTAGCAGTCGAGGACAGCAACTGGTATTCGTACTACTACGCAAGAAATTCTCTCGACAACTGCAACACACGATCACACCTGCTGCCTCTTCAACCTCCACAAAATCACTAGTTGGCAATAAGTCGGTCTCGCATTGACTCAATTTCCCATTCTGGGAGGCCACCTGACCCGACTCCAGATCTGCTCGACTGCCCGACTTAGACTTACTTCGTGTTCGTCCGCTGGTCACTTTTTCCTCCCCTGCTTTACTTTTACCCCGCATACTTTTTTCTTCATCTTTTTTTACTTTTTAAATCTCCCCCTCTCTCTACTATATTCTCCTCTTACCGCGGAGAATTATCTCTTGCACCCGCATTCACAATACACCCCCCCCCTCCCACTATAACTCATGACACAACAAAGAAAGACCATTGCCGTGGTGAACGCTACGGGTCGCCAGGCGGCGTCTCTGATCCGTGTCGCTTCGGCAGTGGGCCACCATGTTCGCGCTCAGATCCATTCGCTCAAAGGCCTCATCGCGGAGGAATTACAAACCCTGCCCAATGTCACTCTCTTCCAGGGCCCCCTTCTGGGCAACACAGAGCTGATGGACTCCCTGTTCCAAGGGGCCAATCTTGCGTTCATCAACACTACCTCCCAGTCTGGCGACGAAGTCGCGATCGGACGCGCCTTGGCCGATGCCGCCAAGCGAGCAGGAACCATTCAACACTACGTCTATAGCAGTATGCCCGACCACTCTGTGCATGGACCATGGCCTCCCGTGCCCCTTTGGGCTCCCAAGTTTACTGTGGAGAATTACATTCGTCAACTCGGTCTGCCCTCGACCTTCGTCTACGCCGGAATCTACAACAACAACTTTACGAGTCTACCATACCCCCTCTTCCAGATGGAGCTGATGCAGGACGGAAGCTTTGAGTGGCACGCACCTTTCGACCCGGATATTCCTCTCCCCTGGCTGGATGCTGAGCATGATGTGGGACCGGCGCTGCTGCAGATCTTCAAGGATGGGCCCAAGAAGTGGAATGGTCATCGGTAGGTCTTTCTCGGTCATTCACCGGAGGGTGACATGGAGCTGATAGCTGATTTACCGCAGGATCGCCCTCACATTCGAGACGCTTTCCCCGAACCAGGTCTGTGCGGCATTTTCGCGCGCTCTCGGTCGCCCATGCCGCTACGTTCGCGTGCCCAAGGTCGAAGTCAAGGTCAACATCCCGCCCGGTTATCGGGAACAATTGGAAGCCATTGAGGTGGTGTTTGGACAGTGCGATGCACCCTACTTCCCGCAGCCCGAATTCTCCCGCCCTGCGGCCGGGTCGCCGAAGGGCCTGGGCCCAGCCAATGGCAAAGGTGCGGGTGCGGGTATGATGCAGGGTCCCGGAGGGGTCATATCATTGCGTGTTACGGATGAGGCCCGGCACCTGTGGCAGGGCTGGCGAGACATGGAGGAATACGCGCGCGAAGTCTTCCCCGTGGAAGAGGAAGCGAACGGGCTGGACTGGATGTTGTGATGGCGCGATCTGACGTGCTGTGTTGCACTTCGGTGAGCGATGGGGAGGGCAGCCGCAAGGTCGATTCAGCGATGGGCGCGATTGGCTCGATAAAGAGGTTACATCGATTGTCTGAGCGCAAGCCGAAACCGGCCGGTTGTCCTGTCCCTCACTCCCACCGCTGCGTTCAGTGCTCTCTGGTTTTCCTTCAATTTCTTTTCATTTCTGAGTTTTTTTTTATTTCATGCATTACTGGCGAACTGGCCTGGGTCTTATCTTTGGGAGACGGAAAAATTATACCATAATGGGAAAGACGAAGACGCAGGAGTGGTTGTCAAGATGGGGCCCATTTCATCTCATCTCATCTCACCGCGGAAAAAAGTTTCTATATTAATGGGTTGCTGGTTGAAACGCACGTTACGAATTTTGCAGGCATGATGATGGACATGTCGGATTGGAGGCCAATCCGCCAAAAGTTTATTTTGACTATTTGTTACGCTTCTGTTTTTCTTTTCTTTTTCATTCTCTTATCTTTCACTTCTTCACTATGCATTTCAAGTGATCTGCATTTATGTGTTTGCCGATTATTCCCCTCGGGTGTGATGATCGCACCGGCGGCTGTTTGTTTGTTTGATTGAGAATCCTGATGAAGGGATGTGATTTGATTGATTGATTGATTGATTGACTGGCTGGATTGATACTCAAGACCCATGGTGACTTGGGTAGATAGCAAAGCTAATATTTGGAATGGACTAAGCTCATTCTCAGTCCGCCAGACATGCTACTTGTCGTTTTCATTGCGGTCACTAACCCCTTACATTGACTGATGCAATTGAATTGCCAGCAAAACCACAGCTTCGATCGATCTCGAAATTCCATCCATGGAGTATAAATCACAACAAGCAGCACCTCCAAACCCGCCTTGAATTAAACTACATACTAAACTATACCCCGAACGAAGCTAACCCGCACCCCCAGCCTGTTTTTCGCCACCGATAAGCAGATCTCCCGGAAAAAGCAACGAGTTGCTGGGGAAAACCCGCCCGAAGCGATCCCTGTTGTGGCGTGGATTAGTCTAGTTTGATGAAGAGGTGGGCTGGAACATTCTCTTCCCTTCCTGTGGAGGTAGGTAGGTAGGTAGGTAAGTGTGGTTGATGATAACGTTATTGACTTGCTACCTACTACAGTGGGTAAATTTAATAATGTATGGTGTAAGATAAGTGTAGTGCAGATTTTGTGGCAGTTATCGCAGAATAAAGAGTGAGTAGTGTAAGCACCTGACACAAGTATTGGAGGAGTAGTATAATCATTGATGTCTTACATTGTTTGCTACTATTGATGTGATGGTCACTTGTCAATCAGTCTTTCCCTATCGTTAGCGGGGAGGGATGTACTACTGCTCCATGACTCCGTAGGGGAAACGCAGCATTCGGAGACCTCCGTGCTACCTACTTATCATCGTCTATTATTACTCGAATTAAATGACATGCTGCCTCCTACTACTACACTTTACGGATCATCCCACCATCCTTCCAATCCTTCTTTCCTACTAAGTAGATACTAGCTAATAAGCCTTCCTTCCATGAACTTACTTAACCAACTGGTTAAGTAGAACAACTAGTCATTTATTCTCCGGAACCATCACCCCCCTTACTAATCCACCCATCCACCAAGCTTAACTAAGTACTTACAAAGTAACTGACTAACCCAATCCAGTTAAATTAGCAGCTACTTACCTTCCCGTGCAACCTACCCAAACCAGCCTAGCCGGCCGACCATACTAGCTAACAGCGTACAGTAAGCAAAGCATAAGCATAGCATAGTTACTAATCTCCCCTGAACTAACCAACTACGGCAGGGAAAGCTAAGTACTCCATAGCTAATTAACCAACTACGTAGGCACCTTCCGCCCGTCTCAGCCGCGCCCGCGCCCGCGCGCTGACTGACCATAGTAACTTAGTACTACTACGCGCAGTAACCAAACCAACCAGTAAACTTTTTTGAAACGATCAGAATTTTTTTTCTTTCCCTTCTTACCATATCTATATATACCCACTCCCCTATTGTTATTCTTGGGATACAAAACCATTTATTCATACACACACTCTTTTTTATTTATTTAATCCATTGGAAAAAGAAAATAGATACAGCTCATCATCATGTCTGCTGAGGAACAACAAGCTAACACGTCGCTGTTGGAGCGCATTCAGCGCCCTGAGGTGAGCAAGGAGACGGCCAAGAAGATTTCTTTGATTGAGGAGCAGTTTGCTAGGGCGGAGGTGGAGCAGTGTATGTTCTTTCTTATTTCTTCTTTTCTAATTCTTGATTTTTGATTATTTGGGGGTTGTTTGTTGGGTTGGTTGTTATTGTTTATTTGGTGATAGGATCTAATCTAACTAATGGGTATAATAGTGCGCCAGTCTACTCTCCTGCTTCGTCCTCTGTTCGAAAAGCGCACCCAGGTCATCGCCGAGCCGGATTTGCGCGACACCTTCTGGACTCGTGTCATGCTCAATGCGCCCGCCGAGGTCGAGGAATACATCACCATGACTGATGCTACGATTCTCGCTTCGACTCTGAAGAATCTGACTGTTGAGCGTTTCGAGATCGATGAGAAGGGCCAGGGCGAGCCCCGCAGCTTCCGCTTGACTTTCGAGTTCCGTACCGGTGATGAGAACCCTTACTTCGAGAACGAGAAGCTCGTCAAGACCTTCTACTGGCGCAAGCAGGTCATCACTACCCCTAAGGGTCACAAGCGCACTTGGGACGGTCTGGTTTCTGAGCCTGTCCGCATCAACTGGAAGAAGGACCAGGATCCTACCAAGGGTCTGTTGGACGCTGCTTGCGACCTTGCTGAGGCGGAGAAGAAGGGCGGAGACCGCAAGAAGCTGCCTGAGTTCACCAAGGTCCTGGAGAAGAAGGATGAGATTGAGGCTGCTGAGGACCAGGAGATGGGTGATGATGAGGATGAGCTCCCCGAGGATGGCCCCGGTGGTATGAGCTTCTTCGCTTTCTTCGGTTACCGTGGCAGCGATGTCACTGCTGAGCAGTCCGAGACCGCGACCAAGGAGGACAACGAGAGGTTTGAGAAGCTTCTCAAGGGCGAGCCTGTTGAGGGCGAGAATGATGAGGAGGATGATGACGAGGATGACGACATTGAGGATGAGTTCGATGACATTGAGGTCTTCCCCGGTGGTGAGGAGCTCGCTATTGCGATCGCTGAGGACCTTTGGCCCAACGCCTTGAAGTACTATGGTGAGTGGTTTCCATATCCCGTAAGAAATCCAAGCTGACCTCCTTCCAGTCACGGATCAGGACATCGAGGAGGTCGACTTTGACGACAGCGAGCTTGATATCTCGGGAGACGAGGAGGAGGACGAGAACGACCGTCCCCGCAAGAAGACCAAGGTCTAAAGATATCACCGTGTCTTGTCTTGAATAACGCAGTTGTAACCATATGTTTCCATGTCTTAAAGAACAATGAGCAGGATGAGGAGGAGGACCAAAACGAATATGAGGACGGCAATGCAAAAGGATGACATTGTATCTAATTGATAATCAGCCAACGTGTTTCTTCCGAAAAGGCACAATGTAAAAATGTCAGAGTGTAACCACTTACCCTCATTCTTCCGTATGATGTATTTCAGCCTTGACATGCCATTCTGTAACTTGCCGCCCACTCGGTCGGCCAACGTATCCACCTCATCTATCATGACCCCCTGTTCCTCCAACTCTCTCCCCATATCATCAGCCTGCTGTCGCAGGTTCCCCACCGTGCGAAACACCCCATCCAACTGCTCATCTTGCTCGTGCATCAACTCCATCTGTCGTTGCTGCTCCATCGCAGCATAGTAATCATCTCCCTGATCCTCCGCCGACGGCGACAAGACATTATCAAAGTCAGCCGGGTTCGGCAGCGCACCAGTCGTGCCCTTCCCACCACTCGAAGCCGTAACCGTCCTCTGCAACTCCTCCCTCATCTTCTCGACCTCGGCGCCGACATCGTTAACGAGAATTCGTCGGCGCTGGACTTCTTCCAGTTCTAGACCGAATCGATATGGATCTTGCTCGATTGCACGCACACTCTCGACTAGATCGTCGAGGTCCGCGGTTAGATCGGTGAGGGTGGTCTCGAGCTCGGAGCGCGCTTGTTGGAGCTCTGGGTTATTGGGCGATTTGGCGAGGGAGCGAATGCGGAGATAGGAGGAGAAGAGAGGTCGTGTGGATTGGAGGGTTGAGAGGACGTCGCTGTTGGCATTGGATTGGTGCTACGTCAGCTTCCTGGCTTGATGGGTTGTAGATTGAATGAATCAATAAGGGGGAGAGAAACTTACGCTTGGACTTGGAGGAAGGGGTCTGTGTGGTCCATGGTTGTTGGGTAGTTGGGTATATGCTAGGGGAAGATCATGAGATAGTTACAATGGGTCAAACAACGCTTCCAGAGATGCTTGGTGGTTGGGAATAGCGGCGATAGTGATGTTGATTGGGTTGAGAGGATCCGGAGCCGATTACTACGGAGGCCCGGGGTTGCGGGCGGTGAAGAAGGCGGCGTGGAGCCATATCGAAGATCTATCTAGAATGTCTAGACGGGTCTCTTGTTTTACTCTGTAGTAAATAATGATGACATTCTTGTTTCTTCCAAGTTCATCCAGATAAGAGTAATATGACAGAATGATCCCAGCTCATCCAATAACTGTGGTGAAAACGCCCATGGTAAAAGCACGATGGAGACCGACGTGTCGCTGACTCCACATCTCCCTCAGGTATCGCTCTGCAGCACGATTAAACTCTCTTCCTCGGGCATCAATGAGTGCAGGCTTGACGCTCCAACTTCTGACTCGTCGCTTGCAGTCACAATCCTGGCAGCCTAGGTCGGGCACATTCTTCCAGGCTTTCCAGTAGTTGTCGAGCGGGTCTGAGAAATGGCACTTCCTAACACCGCAATCAGTAGCTTTCACATCAAGATCGCAGCAGTCGTTCTGAGGACTCAAGAACAGCTTCGCCAGTGACCGTGGCGGTTGTTTCAGGAGAAACCAGGATATGACGCTATATTCGTTCTTGGCGTCGCGGTGCCAGTCCTTGGGGCCGTGGCGGAGAAGCATACGCTCCATGAGCTCGCGCAACATTCGCAGAGACGCGTGAAAGTCGATCTCGGTCTGTTCGTCCAGCCATCCTCGGAACTCTAGCCGCCTGCGGCCAATATCGGCCTCCACATATCCCCACTTTAGAACCGTATAGACGTGGTTGGTGTACTCTTCGAATGACATCAACTGTTTCCTGTGCTGGGGAAGCTCATCATACTCGTCCAACATCTTGCCGAGCACGAAGAGACGCCCACTGACAACAGGGGCCAGTGGCTTCCTGCTAGGCTTCAGCCTTTCGGTGTCACGCGCAATGTCGGCCATGTGAAAGAGGACGTGTAACCCTCGTTCCAACCGGTTGGCAAGGCGTAACTCCGCTTCAAAGTTCATCTCTGGAGTTCCGTCATCGCAGAAAGGTCCCCACACTGATGGTACAATATGTCGTGATAAGTCCTTGGCGATGTTGTGGCGCTGGAAGAACCTTACGAGGGAGTGCACAGTTAGTGCGCTCTGCTCTCCCGTCCACGGGTTAAGGGTAAGAATAGGGTCGAATTCCAGCGCATGGAAGCGCATGAACCAGCCACAGATATGCGGCTCCAACATCTTGATGGTCTCGTATGTGGCGCGGTTCAACCGGCAGAGCGTCAAGATGGTATTTACCTCGCCATTGATGATGATCTGAAAGAGCACATCGGCGACGAAGCCGAAGGGAAGGGCTTCCCGCCTCGGAGATGAGGTCAACATCTGCTTGAGGAGGCGGATCAGTATAGGACGTCTCTTGCGCATTTGTGGAGGAGGAGCTTGGCTGTGTATCGTCTTGTTCCGGAAGATCATCCCGACTTACCGTTGGAGCGGCACTTGAAATGTACCCTTTTGAGTGGTACAGGATCTAGACGGGCAGGCGTGACATCGCCTTCTTTAATAACGGGGCCCGAGGGATTCGCTGTTTCTTTTTCTTGGCAGTAAGGGGAAATATTGCCGTTTGGCTGATATCAAGCGTAGACGGTGTGACGCGTTGGCAGATTATCAGTTGGGCGCTTGGCTGCAGTGGTGCATACCGGAGGGCTGAGTACGCAGGATGCAGAATGCAGCAACCGAATGACAGTAAGCTGACTGGTCACCTTTCTTATATAATACGTGGTACCATTTCTGGGGTGGACTGGGCGTGGACGATGATGACAAGTCTTGACCACGTTTCAGGGTATCAGGCGATTTAGAGACTACGGGTGGAAGGGGATTGGAGGAGATAGACAGATAGAAAGAAAGAGAGTAGTAGGGACAGGGAATTGGGGTTGCCAGCACCAGCCCGACTTTGTTGTTTGCCTTGGACACAAATTCTGGATTCTCAAAAGGGTCCAAAGTCACACGTAGCACGATGAACAGGACGAACTAGCGTCTTTGCTGAGTGTCGCAGGAGACACATGGAGGGTCGATGTATGGTCAAGCATGCGATCAGCGGCTTTCCAGGACTCACTAGCCCTGATAGTTTCAATAGTGCCCTTTTGAGTGGTCGCCAGGGGTTCAACCGGGAGAGAGGACAGTCAGACACGCTAAGAGATAGTATTGCTGTCAGAATTGCAGGGACCAATAGATAGGGGAGAAAGAAGAGAAAGGAGATAGAGGAGGGTCAGGAAGTTCAATAAACGTTGGTGGTGATGATTGATGAGTCGAGTTTGGATCCATCCGCTCTTTCTGCCCTCCTCCTCCATCTCCGCATTTCCCGACCCGGAGACTCCGTCCACCCTTAATGATGGAATAATGTTTGTTGACTGGATGCTTTCATCGGTGGGTCCGACCACGGCTAAACCACATCCGCCATTTCGCTATCGATCGCCCCTCGAAAAATTTCGGGGTCGTGTATATCGATAGCAAATCACCCCACCACATCTCTCCTTCTCTCTTACTCCTCCCCATTTCTTTTCCTTGTTTGTTCTGTCTGTCTCTTCATCCCCTCCTTTCCGCATTGTCCTTTTCGCCCATTGGACTCTTCGCCAGACATCTTCACAATCCCTGAATCCGGTTCGGATGTCATCCTGCATATCCATCCCAGTCTAGCCCGATTTCGCTGCAATCGCACCTGACGCATGATTCCGTCGCAACCCCTCCCACTCGCCGAAGAGTGGACGGATCCGGATGCCTACGTCGAGGCCCTCCTGTCTTTCGCCAATTCTTCCGCCATCTTCAGGCATCTTTGCGGCGGTGTACACATCCTCGATTTCCTGACCCGAGAACCTGACCTGTATACCTCGCTGTTGCCGGAACACTGGAGGACCTTCTTCGACCAGCATGATATTCAAGACATTCTGGACCTGCTTCTGCGGGATGACATCCGACCTCTGTTAGACCAGAGTCGGGAGGCTGCTGCGCGTGGCGGCGAGTCAACCGCACAGTGGCGCGGGGCGCCTCTGCCTCCCTTGGACCTATTGGAGTATATCCATCAGATCCGTCGACTGAGTCTGGGGCGGGATTTCACCCCCGCGCAGCCCGGAACGCCGACGATCCCGAGGAAGATCGCGGTTGGCATGAATGTCAAGAAGTATCACGAGGTCGCGCACTTTTCGAAATACGTCGATTCGCTCTGTGACACGGTGAATGAACAACGGGGCGATCCCATTACACACATTGTCGATTTCGGTTCGGGCCAGAGCTACCTCGGACGGACGCTGGCGTGTGCTCCATACAACAGACACATCGTTGCCATTGAGCGGAAGCATCAGTTCATCAGCGGCGCGAAGGGGATGGATATTCATGCGAAGCTGCAGGAGAAGAAACGCGTCAACATGTACAATAAGAAACTGGTCAACTGCAAGACTTGTGCAGAACCGGATGCGCCTGCAGAGACCGATGCCGATCGTCAAGAGTCCGCCAATGTAAAGGCGGATGCTACAGAGGGCCCAAGCGATGCGGCAGGTGGTGAAGAGGATATGGCCATGATCAACGTCTTCCGTGATATCAGTCTCGCACCTGGCGAGATTGGGTTCGCTCCTTACCGCAATGTCCCGAAAACTGCCACCGAAGAGGAAGTCGATCCGGAGAAACCTCGAGGTAAAATGGACTACATTGAGCATGAGATCAAGGATGGTTACCTCGAGCCCATTATCAAAGACGTCATCGAGACTGAGCCTGTCGAAGGGGAGACTGAAGCTCAAGGCGGATCAAAGGATGCTAACGTCATGGTCATCTCTTTGCATTCTTGTGGCAACCTTCTCCATCACGGAGTACGGTCTCTGACCATGAATCCCTCCGTTAAAGCCATTGCTATGATCGGATGTTGCTACAATCTGGTCACTGAGAGACTGGGTCCTGCTACCTACAAGCTTCCCATTCTCCGGTCAATGCATCCCCGTCTGACCAAGGATGCAGTGGCATACGACCCTCATGGCTTCCCGATGTCGAAACGTTTTGAGGTTTACGAACATGAAAGTGGAACTGGCATGAAGCTCAACATCACCGCCCGCTCCATGTCCTTACAGGCCCCGTACAACTGGAGCAAGAAAGACAGCGAAGAGTTCTTCACCCGCCACTTCTATCGGAGTTTGCTCCAGCGCATGCTTGTGGATCGCAAGGTGGTTGCGAAGCCCAAAAACCCAGACAATTCAGACAATCTATATGATGAATCCACCGAACCCGAAGATGCCGGAAACCCTCTGATTGTAGGGTCCCTGCGGAAATCGGCCTTTGTTTCCTTCTCCGCGTATGCCAATGCTGCGGTGACGAAGCTGGGTCGCGACCCCAACTTCGGCGAGAAGGTTAAGGCCGGCATGGCAGATTTGACCGTGGAAGATTTCGATCGCTACGTGAAGGATTACTGGTATGCGAAAAAGAACCTGAGCGTGGTCTGGAGCTTGATGGCTTTCAGTGCTGCTCTGGTTGAGGCCATCATTGTCGTTGACAGATGGCAATTCCTGCGGGAACACGACTCCGTGAAGGAGTGCTGGGTTGAGCCGGTGTTTGAGTACAAGGAGAGTCCGAGAAATTTGGCAGTCATTGGAATTAAGAAGTAAGCCAAGTTTGCTATGGTTCTTGAATATGGCCTATCAGTTCGCCTACGCTTCCGGAACTCCCTGATTTAAAGATAGCTGTGGCTGTCTAGGCTGCGGGTCTCCGGGTGGTGATTGAAGTTGTCCGAACGAAAACACCGACCCGATACGGGTCTACTGAGATATGCCTGGAGGAGGGGAAAAGAGAGGATAGGCCTACGGGCCTGATGCGAGAAATAGACATACTATAGACGTGGCTGGGTTTTGCGCCTAGCTGTGATGCGACCACGAGCAAAACGCATAGACGAATAGAATATATCTGCAGATCTATTGTTTCTAGATTGGATGGTCGGGCATAGAACGAGTCAACTCAGCTGTACATAAGTCGGACTCTACGGGCTTGCAGGTATTTGCAGATAATTATGGCTTATGGCCTTTGAAGTTTCCCTCCCAAAAGACCTCCTCACATCTCTTCCAGGGACAAACTTTGTACCTACATAACTGCTAGTATACGACTCACTGTCACTATCAGATATAATCTAATAATAAATATATATAGAATCAATATAAGATCCGATGAAAGGATCATAATCCACATCTAATCCAACCCCACATACTTAACATTCCTCCTCATAACCGTCTGCTTCTGCCGCCCATCATCAAAGAATAACCAGCCCGAATTCCTAAACCCCCTACTCGTATACAAATGAAGCCCAGCATCAGTGGACACCAAAGTAGCCGGGATACCCTCTTCCTCGGATCGATCAATTCCCCATTGCAGCAGTTTCTTTCCCACCCCTTGCCCTTGAGCCGTTGAGCTAACGGCCAGATTGCTGAGATACCACGACTCGCTCGGTTGACTAGCCTTAGCTGCCTCGAGCTCATGTCCGAAATGCCTCAGTCTGGGCCAGGATAATGATCGGCGTGGTGTATCGAAATAGAATGTGTAAAGGATCTGCAGATTGAGCAAAAGTCTTTTGAGACCTGGGACATGGAGCTATTAGTTCTAGAGCATAATATATTAAACTCCAAAGCAATGATACACACCTTTTAAAACCCCACCCCCCTGCCAACTCTTCGCAGCCTCAGATACCCCCCTCCGTTCCCAAACAGCAAACCCTACTACTTTCCCCGGCCGTCTCTCAACGCGAATACTAGTATCATCTTGATCTGGATCCGGGATCGAGGCAGCAAGGATATACTTCCCCTTGTCGAAGAACTCCTGCAGTAGAAGATATTTCCATGCCACGATGAAATCTTCGGGATGTTCGCGACCACCAGGATAGAACCAGTTTATGCCTGGATCATCGCGGAAAGCGTCTGCTCCGATGTGGTATAGTGGTTCTAGGTCTTGTAGGGTGGTCACGCGATGTAGGGTGAGAGGGGGGGTCATGGTTTGGTTGGAGTGGTGGGTTGGATATGCTATTTCTATAATTTAATAGAGATGATGTAAATCGGAGGTTATATCTTCTTTTTCCATCATGTAAAGTCTGCGGTTGAACTTGGTGTGTTTAATACTATAGGCAGCTGTGAAGCCAAGCCCCGAGTGCCGAGCTGTGAAGCAAAGCATGAACTGAAGTTGTTGTCCGAACCCCGAGGACGGCTCGCCATTCATCCGTTTATTGTGGTGATTGTTTCAGAATAATCCATTTTTAGAAGTGTAATGATAAGAGATGGTGTTGTTGTACTCGAGAGTACTACTAGTATTGAAGCTGTATGCATCGTAGACACTAAGTACCTTCCCGTTCAAGTTGATAGATTCCTTCTTTTACTAGGTCTTTCATGACTGTTACAGAATCACCGACCCAGAGCGATCATGAGTAATGAGGGATGCTCATCGTGGTATATCTGTATAAGTTTGATAAGGCCTCTACCGTATATAACAGCTGCGAACGCAATGTGAGGGCTAATCATGCAATTTGCTATTCATTGTATGGTGGGATATAATTAGTGTTTCGTGCGATATTTCAGATCAGTGGATGGTATGAGGATTTCTCTAGCGGGGATAGACAAATTGAAATCCCACTCTAAGGGGGTCCTAGGAAAAGAAGTGGCTAATTGTACTCTAGGTAACGGTGGATAAGTGCGATGAGAATAAATTGTGCCAGTGTTATCGTCGCAATGGAAGAAATTCAATTTCTGATATCAATCTTGGAAAAGCACTCGGACTATTGTTATATGAAAGATTACTTACATTTGCCATTTGGATTCATCACAACCCGAACACATGTGCAATTAAAAGATCTCCGTAACATATCGCTCCTTTGGCAAAGGGCCCAACATATTCTGTAACACGGCCTCGACCCCCTTGGCCATGTTCGTCGAGCCGCAGACATAGATTGTAGCATTCTGTGACCAAAGAGACAGGATCGCTTGACCTTCTGTCACCAGTCGATGTTGCACATATCGACATCCTTTAGCTATGTCGAAATCTGGAGTTTTACTATATGCTCTCCGAATCTCAACCACACCCGCAGCTTCAAACTCAGATAGTTCTTCATGGTAAAGGTCATCCAAGGAGCGCCCACGGCAGCCAAAGAACAGAAATGCCTTCGCGAGTGGTTTGTACTGCTGTTTCAAGACCATGCGGTCTTGTATAAAGCTAAGGAAAGGGGCTAGACCGCTACCCGCGCAGATCATGATGATAGGTGTGTTGGAAGGGTCCTTCGGAAGATGGAAAGACTCCTTGGCTGGTCGGGGAGAGAAGTAGAAAATGGACCCTGATGTGAGCGATGCCAGGTAGTTCGATGCGACGCCCAGATGCTGTCCACTGCCGCGCCATGCTGGCTCGTTGATCACGGAGAAGGTGAGCGAGCTGTGGGATGGTTTGAACGAGGGAGCCATTGATAAGGAATATGTCCGGACGCGGAGAGCTGGGAGCATGGAGATAAAAGCGGCGATAGGAAGGGAGATAGAGGGGAACTGCTCAAGGAGATCCAACACTGAGACGCGTTTGTCCCGAACTATGAATTCGTATGAATCGTACAGGCGGTTCAATTCTTGTTTGTCTGGATCTGATTGTGTGGCTGCGATGAGTGCTTTGAGGTTCTGGGATTTTCACAATTAGCCAAGTGTTTCGAGTTGGAGGGACGTGCTTGTATGGACATACATTCCGTGTCGCTGGTTGGCATAGCTCTACGTACGAGCTAAATAGCTCGGATGCCGACACAGGTGTGGCTTGGGGGAGACCAAGTGTGTTGAATGAATTGACTGTGATGTTGTAATCCGGTGCGAGGTTGAACTGCGCCAGGACTCGCGAGACGGTGCTGGGCGGATTAACTGGGAGAATATTAAGATGATCACCTGGTCGCAAGCTGGTGTCGCCCTGGAAGCAAAATTCAAGATGTCGCTTCTCCGGGGTGTCGGGGCTAGTTAAGACCCGGACAGCAGTCACTTTTGCCTCTATAAGACCCTTGTGCAGGTCCACCCTCCTGGGCTTACTGAGACTAAGCTGTATCTGGTGGGGGTTGAGCGGATCGAAGTCGGTGCTGTTGGATGGGAGGAAGTTCTCTCTAAGAGCGGGCAGCAGACTTGTTTCTTCCCATGCTTCCAGATCCGAGAAGAGATCACTGACAGCCGCATTAGCTGCACCTCGTGGCGCAAGGCGTGTGGCGCCGGCCTTGTGCATCAGGTCATCAATCAAGATGGGGATGCGATAGAAAGTTTGAGTCCAGTCATGATGGCCGCAGCCGAATACAGCGTAGGATATGCCCTGAAGAGACGGAACATTGCCAGTTTCGAGCCAGGCCACAAACTTCTTCGCATCATCTGTGGGCTGCCCATCGTACGTGGTTGTTAGAATGATGACTGGCTGATCTCTCGGTAGGTTGCCGACGGCATTATCTAGCGGAGCCAGCTTCTGGGTAGTATATCCGCGGGACATCATATTCGATGCTAACTGGTGGGCGAGGGCTTTGCATGTTCCGCTGTTAGAGCCGTAGAAGAAGGAAACCGGCTGCCCTCTTGCTGGTGCGTGGTCTCCGCGGGCCTCAGCGAGATGATTTGACGATTCCCCTGAGCTCCCATCCCTCGCCACTAACATGCTACGTCGAGATAGCCCAGTGGCAGTCTGACCGCGGCGCAGTAGGGCACGGATCCGAAATCCATCTGGCTTAATGGTGAGAGTCTCTTTGATGCGCAGCTGGTAGGACGGGTCGTCTGGCACCAAATCAAACGTTTGTAGAATCATGGCAACCACGAGTTGGGCTTCTTGCCAAGCAAAAGCCCTGCCAATGCAGCCTCGTTCACCATTACCAAACGGTTTCCACGAGTTGGGAGGCAGCTTAGAGAAATTCTCTGCCAACATACGTTCAGGGTGGAACTCGTCTGCGTCGGGTCCGAAGACACTCTGATCTCGTAGACAGGCAGGCAGTAGGACATTGACGGGTTGACCGGCATTGATCATCCATTTCCCGCCCAGAACCTCCGTCTTCTTTGGAGTGACGGCGAAGCCAGGGGCAGTAGGCATCAAGCGCAAACTCTCTTTTAATATGGCATCAATATACGGAAGCTCTGCGAGGTGCTGCGCAGAGATCTGGGCCAGGCCGACAGTCTCGTCGACTTCTTCTTGGGCCTTCTTCAAGATGTGGGGGTGTTGGATCAAAAAGTAGAACGTGAACGAGAGCAGACCGGAAGTTGTTTCGTGGCCAGCAATCAAAAATGTGATGACATTGTCAATGATTGAGTCATCACTCATGCCTTCACCAGTGACTGGGTCCCTCCCGTTCAAGAGAGTGTTCAGGATGTCATCAACGGGATTCTTGTTCTTTCTGCGCTCCTGGATGATGCCGCGAGCCATGGTCCTCATCGCCTCGATGTTCTTATGCATGCGCCGCTGTGCCGAGACACGAATTGAATTTGCAATCCCGGGAAGATTAGCCTGGACATCGGCTTCCTTCAGGACGTACAGCATGGATTGAACAAATGGGTGCATGGTCTCGTTGTTGTAGAAGCTGTTCAGCCGGAAACCCATCGTGCAGAGGGCAATAGTGTCTAAAGTGAGGCGTGTGAAGTCTTCGGTGATATTGATACTGGTTGAACCTCCTTGGCGAGCCCTGCATCGACCATGAAATCGAGCACATTCGTTAGTTTATAATCTAGTTACTTGAACTTTGAATCCAGAGATACCTACCACTTCAAACACAGTTGTTGCGCTACGTCGCTCATATCGTCGAGCATGTTCCGGATACGTAGGGGGCCAAAGGCAGGCACCAGAATCCGATGAGCGATCCCCCAGCCGCGCTCTCCATGGTAGGCTGTGAAGAGGCCATCGTGGGCCAGCAATCGTAAGACCTCGAGGCCAGTCACTACGGCCTTGTGGAAGCGCGATTCGTCGCAGAGCTCATCTACCAGGGCCTGGCTAGTCGCGAAGATCTGCTTTTCACCGTTGATAGTGATCTGAAAGAGGGGTCCTAGAAGAAACCGCCAGATTAGAGAGCTTCCCTATCAATGTATGCAGCACATAGACGATTGGAAATTGAGATACCGTATTTATCCGCGAATGCAATAATGGATTGCAGACCATGCTCAGGGTCGATGTCCAACAGGTTTCCCACAACTGGCAGGGCTGAAGAAATGAACGGTCAGTAAGAGAATGAGTATATAAAACGGCCTTGCATGTTTGAGCTGATAACAAGTTTTTCGTGCTTACGTTTAGGTCCGGGAATGCGCTCGGCGTCTTTCATGGCTTCCTGTTACAGATTTATCTGTTCGGATGCAATGTATCAACGTGATGAATGCAAAGATGAAGTATCATTCTCTTCTTTGGCTGCTTCAGGGTAATATAGACCTCCTCGCCCTAAGTATGATATGCCATGAATATTGGGTTGGCTTGTAGTCTCCCGTCCGCGGACACCGAAGTGTAGTAGATGGTACTTCTCGGTGTTCGGTGTTCGGTGTTCGGTGGTGCTGTGAAACTGACTTCCTTGGGATCATCAAGATATTAGTGATCATGACTATATTGTAGTCAAGTCGTTTGCCACAGGGCACCAAGTACGCCCTGACCTAATAATCCATTTGCTGCGGTGTTAACTTAATATAGAATTTGCTCTCCGCATATCACTCGCAATGCAGCAACGCATAGGGTCTCTATGACCATACATCGGGTTCAAGTTGGGAAACTGATACCTGGCACTACTTCCAGTTAAACTGCATAGGTGTGGTTGATCTAAAGGAAAGGTAATAAAAAGATACGTAGAAAATTGGCGGTATGAAACCGGAACGCCTAACACCTTTGACCTCATAGCCTCCTTCTCCTCATGTGCCCCCTTTTTGACTCCACCTCTACCTAGGAACACTTCTATGCATATTCATCATCGTGAGAATGAAAATTCTCGACCTTTTGAACATGAGACAGTCTACCACCCGTGTCGTCCTACCGTCGCAGCCCAAGCA